TGGAATTTGACATAAGAGTGGGCTGTCCGAGCAAAATATGCCTGTTTTCATTAGACCAGTCGGTGCAAAAAGTAGGTTAAATCCTGGTCCATTCATTCATTCACATTAGGGATATACAAATCAAGTCAATACAATCAAATAAATTACAACTATATATGTTGCTGTAAGATTGTTCCAATTTATCATGCCCAGCCCCAGTTGTTGCTGATGTGACATACAAACTTCAATTTGGTTCTCATACATAATGATTAAAACATGCCCAGTCGTTGCTGATGTGGCATAAAAACTTCAATCTGGTTCTCATACATAATGATTAAAACATGCCCAGTTGTTTCTGATGTGGCATAAAAACTTCAATCTGGTTCTCATTCATAATGATTAAAACATGCCCAGTTGTTTCTGATGTGGCATAAAAACTTCAATCTGGTTCTCATTTATAATGATTAAAACATGCCCAGTTGTTGCTGATGTGATATAAAAACTTTAATCTGGTTCTCATTTATAATAATTAAAACATGCCCAGTTGTTGCTGACGTGATATAAAAACTTCAATCTGGTTCTCATTCATAATGATTGCAATGACTGCCATCAACAGAACTAATTAAATCTAGTGAAAACAATCTTCTTGAAGTGATGACCAAACAATCCTTTTACGATCAGGTTTTAATTAAAAAAATGTCATACCTTGCAATAAACTTTATAACTATATAACAATGAAAGGTCAGTTTGTCTTATCATGCTAATGAGCAATTCCTTTATTAAAAAGTAGCCAAACTATTTTTAAAGGGTTGTCTCATAGTTTAAAAATGCCTTATGCTCGAGCTCAATTACAATCTGCCTATTACTATTGGTCTTTTTTTTGGCTTCAAATGTTATATAAAGTATTATTTAAATATTTATTCACATGACAAGCCCACAATCCACTTTCTAGCAATGAAAGGACTGACAATCAAGACTTTGTTTATCATTATGGCAATGGTACTTGACAATCAAGACTTCATTTATTAACATGGCAATGGTAATTGATAATTGACTTTTTCTTGTTAAAATATCAAACAATCAGAACTTCATTCAGAATATAGTTAATTGAATGAAATTTCAATATATTCATATCTCATTATCTATTTTTGAACCAATATGCACGAATGTCCAGCTCTTTATCTAAATCTTACATAATTTAATGTATCTTTCATTAATGCGATACAGCTGACGTCAGATCCTAGTCAAGAAGATTCTCATATACCACCGCAATGATTTCTACCCCTCAAAGTATGGCAAAATAAAATGAAATAGATACGTCTGTATGTCTATGGGGCATTGATGCACTTTCTCTCTAAAACACCTGATACCATTTCTTATGTCTGATATTTTCATAAGATCATTCTGGTGGTGATCAAGGTGAGTTGGTAGGGTGACCACCCATCCCGCATAATGCTGCCAATCGTATGTCCCGAAAACCAGCCAAAATGTCCTGCTATTGCTCACATGGAAGATTTCTTTACCATGATCTAGCCTCGCAAATGTCTATTTGAATTTGAGTAGGCTATTACATTACTGTTTTTCAAAGATCCGTGCGAGTATTTTTACACCTAAAGTTAATCTACAACAAATATTTATGGTTCAAAAACATTCTGCACATGCAACACGATTCGTAAGTTTACTTTGTCATGGCACTCGTAATTCTTACATTTAATAAATTTAAAGTACTGTAAAAGAAAATCCTTTCTTTAATCAGGCCATATGTACTCCTTTCTCCAGGTTATTGCACACAAGTAATTATGTGGTTAGATAAAATGAGAGAGAGAGAGAAATGGGGTTTAACGTCCACTCAACACAAACTAGGTCATTTCGGGACTAACATATGGTTTAATTTTATTTACAAAATTCGCTTGCGCGTAGGGGTCTTTAGCAGTGGGAGGAAACCGGAGGACCCGGAGAAAACCCACGAGGTTGGACAGACGACCCTACTCCTTGCCGCGTACAACCGGGGATTCGAAACCACGCCAGTCAACTCAATGACAGACTTAATGATACAGCGCGCGCACGCTAACCATTCAACCATCCTACCCCCCAGATAAAATGAGGCCTGATTTTAACATAGAAATGAGACTTTTTTGAAAGTAGTCTTTCAGAGGAAAACCCTGTTATGCTCTATATACTGATCCCTGGGCTGAGAGACTAACAGTTGTGAGGTAAAAATGAAATGAAATGGGGTTTAACGTCCTACTGTTCTGCTTCTAACCTGGGCTAATGAAGACGGCCATACGCCAAACAGTGTGCTATGAGGGAAATTTTGCCCAGGCAGCGGCGCTACGGCCTACTCTTATATCGAATTCCAACTGCCAAGGGATCTTTTACGTGCACGACAATGTGTACACGGGACCTCGGTTTTTCATCCCATCCGAACGACTAGACAGCTGTCCTTGTCAGGCCCTCCGTCCTGCATCACTGACAAGGGGAAACTACGCCGGAAAATCGGGATGAACTTTCTCGGCCAATGCAGGGATCGAACACCCGACCTCCAGGCTAGCGAGCCAGCGTCTTACCCACTTAGCCACGTGATCCCCCTGGGCTAATGAAGACGGGCATACGCCATACAGTGTTCTATGAGGGAAATTTTGCCCGGGCAGCGGTGCTATGGCCTACTCTTATATCGAATTCCAACGGCCAAGGGATCTTATTTCCATTGTATCTATGACAAATTAGGTGATTAACCAAATGACAGAATAGAGTTTTATTCACACTCTTTGTGTCCCTTATCCATCAAATAATTCACTGCTATCAGTTATGACCAGTTGAAACAAGAGGTTGCCATGCAAGATATGCCCACATTTTGCAAGAAATGGATGGGGAAGAGGTAAAATCAATATAGTTCATCATCTCACTCAAGATCATTTGATCCTTAACACACTTATCAAGTTTCCTTAGAATGGGACAACAATTGTAGCCCCTCTGGAGGGCCTACAAAATTCATACATATTTCACATTTTGTGTAAAAAAGCAGGGGCTATAGCTCTAGAATGGAAGGTCTGATGCGCACCAAAGTCAAACTCATCCAAGAACTTTTGATTCTTAACACATAGTTTAAACATACATTATGCAAGAGTTAACTCTGTCTATTGCAGGTCTTTCTTAAGGCCTGAAATGTTATCTAAATTATTAATTAGACATTAATTAACTTATCCAGACCATAATCAACGCTCGATGGCATTGCTAGCCTGCGATCTTTAGTGGATTATGAGCCGATTTACTGCATAACTTTCCTTCACGATTTAATGATTAAATGGATAATCGAGACTATGCTGTTTATCGTACTGACTTTAGTAATGATGATCAAGGCTAGGTGGAAATTTCAATAGCTAAATTCTCGGTTCATAGTGGATCAATTTGAATGAAATTTTCAGCAAATTGCCTTTATATTATCTAGTTTTTAACTATTATAGTGAGAACTGTCAACTCGTTATCTAATCTCCCATAATGAATCTTTAAGTTTCATCTCATGAATCAGACAATAACTGTCACCTTTGGAAGGTCCACAAACATCATATCATATTTCACATTTTGCGTAATTTGTATGTGATGGTGATATATTTGAACTGTTTTTACAATCAAATAAAAACGGTGAGCTCTCTAGAGGGTCCATAAGATCATTCTTTTTGACGATCTTTCGGTTATAAACATACATTGTCAGTTTCATCAAAATCGCATAAAAATTGTGACCTCTAGAGTGTCCACAACCTTGGTATTATTATGCATATATTTGTCAAGTTCAGTATATATCGCAACGAACCACCAACCATTGTGTTTGCATGGTAAGGAATTTAGAAAAGAAATAAAATTTCACTTCATTGCTGGCTATTTTTATTAGCCAGAAATCACTCAGAAAGTGTCTCTGACGATCTAAACCCCAAGGAGCTTCCGGGGCCTGGGCAAGGATTGTAGCTCCGCCCCTAGCCAATCAAGAATTGCTTCTGCGCCCCGTTAATATTTACGTGTATACTTACGACTTGCGTGTAGTTTTGAGAAATAGACCCGATTTACGTTGTTATGCATTCATGGGGAAATCACAAGTTATCACTACAAAATCAGACTATTTCAATACCATATTTCTTGTCTTAGATTGCTGGGAATGGCGATTCCGGGCTTCTAGTGTTCAAAATTTTTCTGCTCTGCCAGAAAATAAGAGGGTTTTTAAAAAAATTATATATTTTTTTAAATGTCCCGCATATGATCTAGTGAAGGTGGTCACCCTAGTTGGGTGACCGAAGGGTTAACGCGTGTGTGTTAGATCACAAGGTCAGTCATTAAGTCAAGTGGTGTGGTTTTGATTCCCCACTTATACGTGACAAGGAGTAGTGTCAACTGTCCAAATTTGTGGGTTTTCTCCAGATAAGTGATTATCGAAATAAAATTAATGTTAGTCACGAAATGCATCAAGTGGACTTTAAAACCCATTTCTCTCTCTGTATGTCTAGTGGTCTTACATTTTTATTTCACATCAGTTTCCTCATCAGGGGTCACGGTGGCTAAGTGAGTAAGACGCTGGCTCGCTAACCTTGTAGTTCGACTGTTCGATCCCTGCATTGGCCAAGAAAGTTCATCCAGATTTTACGGCGTGGTTTCCCCTTGTCAGTGGTACAGGACGGAGGGCCTGACAAGGACAGCTGTCTAGTCATTCAGATGGGACAAAAAACAGAGGTCCCATTTACACATTGGCATGCACGTAAAAGATCCCTTGACAGTTGGGAATTTGATATAAGAGTAGGCCATAGTGCCGCTGTCCGGGCAAAATTTCCCTCATAGCACACTGTATGGCGTATGACCATCTTCATTAGCCCAGTCGGAGCAGAACAGTAGGACGTTAAACCCCATTTCATTTCATTTTGTTTCCTTGTCAATTAAACTCAAATGTCACAAGATTTGTCAGACAAGTTGTATTTGTCTGAATTCCACAAAGCAAAATACAATCAGTTGATTAGTTGATGTGGGCTAATACTTACGTTAATTCATCGACTTCTCATCAGAATCTTCTTTGTCAATGTCTTCTGTTCTCTCCAGGAGTTCTTGCCAAGACATCTTAAATTTAAAAAGAAAAGATAATATTCCATTTGTTACTTTTATAGATAGAACAAAAAGACTCTGTTGTCAACATACTGTGTTTCAAAAACTAAGATAAATTTGTTTCCATGGAATCGTTAAATCAAAAGAATTTATAATTAACAAAAGTCACAACTATTATAAGGGTTGATATGTGTACAAAGTTTTATAAATCTGTCTTTAGTCGTTATTCAGATTTAAAATACAGATGTGATGTTGGCGTACCATTATTTCAAATAATCGTATGGGCAACTTGCCAATCGTACATTATTTATACCAATGAAATATTGGACTTGCGTTACGTATTTCACTGTAAAAGCATGTTCAGAGTGTCTGTATTTTAAGTCGTTTAATGGCTCGAGTTTTAAGACATTGCGTATTATAGGGTGTTTCATATTTGAACTTTTTTTCGCGATTGAACTCTACCATGTGCCATGCGTTTCCAATTGGGTCCAAACTCATCACCAGCGAATATTATAATTTTCCCACCAAAAATGGCGGGCCGCCGCCATTTTGAATTTTTCGCCAAATGTGAAATTTTTGAAAAAGTCGGAAAAATACTTCCCGTTACGGTAGAAAGATAAAACTTGGCACAATGAATCGAAAAGGCACACAGATGATCTGCAATATATTTCAGAATTTTAGCATAAAAATTTAGGAGGGTTTCCATTTGGCATTTTTTAGAAAAAAGTCTTTTTCTGTAGAATTTGTTAAGACCACGGTGATTAAACTCCACCAAAACGTCATAAACTAATTTATCTACACAAATGGAGATAAATAAAGAACTAAATTAGTTATACGGGTTGTCCTCAATGAATATTTGATCATACAAGAGAGACAGAAACTATTCAAATAGTCACAAAATTCATTTAATAATCCAGACGAGCCAAAGTGTGTTTTGGTGAAAAATTCAAAATGTCGGCGGCCTTCCATTTTTGGTAGGAAAATTATAATATTCGCTGGTGATGAGTTTGGACCCAATTGCAAACGCATAGCACATGGTAGAGTTCAATTGCGAAAAAAAGTTCAAATATGAAACACCCTATTGCGTAATATATTGTAAAAACACTCGGGCCTATGGCCCTCTCATTGTTACAATATATTACTTAATGTCTCGCTCTCGACCATTAAACAATACATTGAATGGGTTTGACTGTTGACATCTTCATTAGTCCCATTTGTGAAAACCATTTGGATGTTAATAAATATTTTGAAGTAATAGCTTTTGTGATTGAGCTGTTCGTTTATCTATGACTATTATTTACACATACTTCCGTTTTCTTTTCCATATTCCCGCCACAAAGTTCACATAGAATTTCTGCAGAGCGCAGGATTTAAGTTAAGCCCCTATCTCCACCTGTAATTTGTACCTGTACTTTAGTCTCCGGGCTTATTATTTTCATTCTGCCCAATTCATTCAGAAAACATAAGATCCTGGAAATAATTGGGAAAATTGTAATTTATGTTTTCAAATCATCATTTTGAATAATAAATGACATTTCACACCAACACTTGTGTTATTTATTTCTTAGGATTGTGGGTGTTTCCTTGGCTAGTTGCATGAGACACCATTTCTTATATATTAAACCTACACTTATCTATATGTGAACCAATAAAACCCCTGAAAACATGGAATTTCAAACACATTTATTCATTGTCTGTATCCATAGGCTTCCTTTCCATCATTTTGCAATATCCAACAACCCTTGAGTCATAAACTTATTTCATTATCTCAGCAGATTAGATTACTATATCTTCACACATCATTTCTTATCCCTACAGTTTTGTTTTATGGCACTTTCATCTCAGAGAGCTGTCAGCACAGTTAAAGGAACTTTGCTATCAGAAAGGACGAAATATCTGTAAATTCAGGCGGACATTACCACCGGAACACGGAATAAGATTATAATCTATCAAATCAGGCTATCATTTAATTGTTCTGTGAATCTCAATGACAACCACTGGGTGAGGTAATAAATTTTAATATTTGTACTCATAGCATCTGAAATAACTTTGGGGATCAAAACAACAATTTCAGTAATATTCTTTTTATTTCTATACATCGATGTCTGAAGAATCTATGTTTAAGAAGTACAAATGTGACCATATCTTTCTTCATTAACCTATACAGTGCAGGTAGAATATCAAGTGCAGGATAAATGGTTTATCACGGACATGTTAGATCACAAGGGTCTGCATGTCACACGGTTTTGATTCCCAGCATGTACTTGATAAGGAATATGGTTGCCTATCCAACTTTTTGGGGTTTTCTCTGGTTGCCTCCCATAGCTAAAAACCTCTACAGACGCATCTCCAGAGGGGGTTGTCCAAGGGGCTGGGACCATAGAATTTTTTTCTCCTACATTCAAGGATATAATGTCAAAAAAACTAACATGAGAAATATTGCTGATGTTTTGACTCACTCCACTGTAATCCAATACATGGATGCAACTAAATGAGCATAAATATTGTCTCAAATCGACTGATTTTAGTAATTTGAGGGTAGTTTCCCCTGACCTAACGCCAAACTTGACATTGTCTCCACCTTGACACCCCCACCCCCAACAATGCTGAAATTCCTGGACACGCCCCTGCTCTATGTGCAAGCCAATTATTGCAATAAAATTGAACCATATAATTATGTTAACCCTGAAAAGACCTAGTTTGTGTTAAGTGGATGTTTAACTCCATTTCTCTCTTTCTAGCATATCATTTCAGAATACCTTGGACTCCTTTAACTGGTCAAATTCATGTCACAACAATTCAATCAGATTCCGTCTGATAGAAATCCCATGATCAAAGTAGACACAAAAATAAGTCGCCTACTTGTAAGGGTTTATACCCAATATATTAATAGGCTGATTAACCATGTCTTGAGACAGATTACCAATAGTTTGATTAACCAGTCTTCAGCAATAATTTATACTGATAATTTGATTAACCAACCTTCAGAAAGATTGTCAATAGTTTGATTATCCAGTCTTCAGAAAGATTGTTGATAGTTTGATTAACCAGTCTTCAGAAAGATTGCTGATAGTTCAATTAACCAGTCTTCAGAAAGATGCTGATAATTCAATTAACCAGTCTTCAGAAATATTGCTGATATATTGATATTTGATAAAGCTGTGTACCTATTTTGATTGCCGTTTTCATCAATAGTTGTATTAACTTTGTTCTTTAGGTCGCTAACGATTATATTGATTTCATGTTTATTTGACGATCCTCACCGGAGACTTAAGTTGCTGTAATGCATCATATCAGCTTTTCCTTTGAAGCCAAACGGTGATATAATGAGCATTATCCAGTTTAACCTTTACATCGATTTAGATAAACAGACAGACGCGTGTCAAATTGAGGAAATAACGCAAAATAAAAGATTAAAGAAACAACTTTGATTAGCACCTTTTATCTTGTTTTGAACTGGAAAAAGGCAAACACCATTATAAAAATATGGTAAGAAGTCAGGCAAGGAAAACCACTGTGGCTCAGTGCACAAGATGTTGGTTTAGGTTTGCAACAAAAGCTAGAAGTAGAGAAAGTATTACCCCAATCTTAAAGATACATTATGGGAGATAATATAAAGAGTTGGCAGTTCTCACTATAATAGTTAAAAACTAGATAATGTAAAGGCAATTTGCTGAAAATTGGCAGATTTAGCTCTTGCATAATGCATGTTTAACTGATCGTCATTGGCTACCTATTCATGACCTGCATAGGCTTCAAAATCCTTCTATATAAGTATTCAAAATCTTGCTTGTCAGGGTTAGCGCCCACGTATCTTTGTAAATCGATAGAACGATATATCAAATCTCATTTCATCGAAAATAAATCTATGTCTTCTTTAGACACAAGATACCAGAAATACCAATTAAATATATGGATGGCGAGTTGTCTTCATTATTGCCCTCTATTTATGGAATAACCTTCCTTTTCATAGTCGTCAGTCCTTCGATGTGTCCTCTATTAAAAGTAACTTAAAAACTCATTCATTTAAAAGGCATTTGAATTCTTTTTTTGCAAAGTTAAATATTTTAATTTTAAACAACGGCATGAAGTTGTTTTAATGTATTTCCTATTTATATAATCATATGTTGTTTTATTCTTTAATTTTTTTTTGTTTGCTTTTATATTTTACCTTTTATTTTATGCGTCATCCTCGTTTAATTTTAAATGTAATTGAACTAGAACGCTTAATAAAAATAAAGTTTTATTATCATTTCTCTCACAACCCTGACACGGATCAAATTTATCAAGATCTGACCGAAATAATAACGATGAGATACAAGATTCCGCCATTCACAAAATCTGTCTCTCTTCTCTCATTGATTAAGTTGGTTCGTCGAGATTCTTTGATAACAGCATAAACTGACCGATATCTGAAAGAGCTCTAAGAATGTCCTCGATACGCTGGATAGCGACTGAAATATGAGGTATCAGGAGAGGAACAGAAGAGCGGAGGAAAATCGGAACAAACACGACGCCTCGATTGACAAATCACCCGAGACACTTTTCTTATGCAAAACAAATTTGATAACATCCCTAATAACTGACAAGTTTCCAATATGTCTGAAAGGTTTATGAGGAAATTTCATGCGACTGTTGGCACAAACTCTTTAAATGTGAATGAAGTGCTGCGTTACAACAGCTGGAATGAGCCGTAGTGAACAGTCATTAGAGATGGTTTGTTTACACAAGCTAAAAATATTATCAGTACTGCACAAACATCCCAGTATATTCAACCTTTCAAAATGTCCGACCACCGGACCTATTATCAATCGAAAAATCAATCAAAATTAATCACCCCACTGATTGTGAGTGGATCTTGTGTACCCCAGGTGAATGACGAGTTGTCACTATAAAATAGCCAGTTTGTTTACACGTCCACCAAATGTCGTTGTTCAAATCACTTAATTGATTCTCGACTGTATAGTTTAACTGTTACATCGGACATATTATTCAATACCATTCAATGCCATTTTGAATTTTAGTTCGTCAGGAAAACCCATTAAGATTTTGCTTCCTAACTATTCCCAAAAATATATATAATCTCCCCTCAAAAAAATACTTTAATTGATCTCATTAAAGCTTTTAATTATAAATTTTTAAATTTAATCAAACATCGTTCACAAGATTAAAAATCTGCAAAAAATGCTTACCGATAATTGATCTTTCTAAAGCTCTTAGTTGTAAAATTTGAGATTTTGGTTGAAACATCATTCACAAGATTAATCTATATAATTTGGTTTCTATCCAGACCCGAAAGCAGTAAAGAACAAAATTGGTTTGTAATGGATGTTACTTGAAATCATTAAAACTGAAACCGTTATTTTCAGTCCTGCTTAGAGGGATCACGGTGGCATGGTTCCCCCTTATCAGTGATGCAGGATGGAGGGCCTGACAAGGACAGCTGTATAATCATTCGGATGGTACGAAAAACCAAGGTCCGGTGTACACATTGTTAGGATGTCCTTTACTTAAAAGAAACATAAAAAAATAGCTATGCCATCCTACAATTCACATGACTGAGGTGGTCCCAGGTTCAGGATGTTTCTAGATGTCCAGGGATATACCAATTTACTGGACTCAAGTCAAATGAGGCAATATGAGGAATGATATATTAGGCCAGTTTCGGAATCTCAAGATATCAGTATGAAATATATGAATTTTCTTTCCGGAGAAAATACGGTAGTCCATATTAACAAGTGCTAAAGTGTCAATAAAATACATAGTAATTAATAAAATTGCAACACGAATAGCATACAGATAGATCTTGTTCCCACTCACCGTCCGCCATCTGCCCACCTACAGAATAGAAAAATGTTGACACAGATGGATTTGAATGTAAGTTTAAGACTAAATAACCAGCATTTAATTTATCATATGCTATCTACACATATCAAATTCGTGTGTAGTTCTACCCGACTTTATGCCAAACTTGAAATTGTCTCCACCTTTGACACACACACACACAAACACACACACAACTCCCCCCGTTGCTCAAATTCCTGGACGCACCCCTGCTATGGTGTTGTTCAACCCACCCACTCAATTCTGCAGGCTGAAACTTCAAAACTCTGCAACATTCCCTAACCAAATAGAATATCTATTCTATTATATAAAATTAGTTATTACATAAAACTGATAATTAAATTAAGTCTTGGCATGACTATATAGCCATTATTACAGATTAGTCTGAAACTTAATGTCTATACTCTATAATTAGTACATGTAAGTGCGAGGGGGGGGGGGTCCACACACAAGCAATTACACAAGACAAACCTACGAACAGCACACAATATACACAGAAACCTCAATGCCCATATCAGATTCTCATTTAGCATGTTAAAGATACCCCGATTAACAGAAATCAAAATAAGAGAAGACTTTAGTATTCTGTCTGGTGTATGTACGTCTCCATTACTCTTATT